TTTCTATGTGTGTCTTTTGTAACAATACAAAGATAAAACATCATTGCTGTTGTTGTTTTTTATGTGCTGTTGAGTGTGACTCACAACAAGCCTATATACAATAGCTCTGAACACTGCCCTATCCTGAGCCTGTCTCACTTTCTACCCCAATTATCTCAGTTACTGTGTCAACTCATCTCATCCAGGGTCTTTCTCTCCTGCACTGTCCCTCTACTAACCATGATGTCTTTCTACAAGGACTGGTCCCTCCTGGTAACATACCCAAAATATATGAGACAGAGCTTCAAAATTCTTTCCTCCAAGGAGCAACTTGTCTTCACTCTCTCCATGACAGACCTGTTTAACCTTTTGGCAGTCCTTGGTATGTTCAGTACTTTTCTCCACAACTCAAAGGTCTCAATTCTTCTTCTGCCATCCTTATTCATTGTTCAGCTTTCTGATGCATGGAAAGTAATTGCGAAGACCATTACCTAGACTTTTCAGCAAGATAAATTGACATGGTGATTGTGCCAGTGGGCTCAAATGTGTCAGAGGTGATGAGCATGACACAGTATAGGGCAGGGTTCAGGTTTGTTCATAGCATCACTAGGAGTTGTAGTCACCTCAACAGAACCTAACAACAACAGCATATAAAAATGCAATAGGTTCATATTATATTAATCAGAATAAAGAATATATTGAACAAATTTAGGGAAGGGAATTACTGATTGTCATTAATGGAGGAAAAAGAATTTAATTTCCGTTGTAACTTTTCATGCACAGCAGAGCTGTGGTGGCCTAAAGGGTAAGGAGTTGTACTATCAATCCAGAGGCAGGCAGTTCTGATATACGAAATGTTTCACAAGAGAAAGATAGGTAATCTCTTATGCAATATGTTATTGATATGTGCCATTAAGTCATTTGCAACAGCCCTGAACCCTGCTCTATCTTGTGGTAACTTTATTGTCTCTGACAGATCTACCCTCGTTAACCCAGTTACAGAATCAGCCCATCTCGTACTGTTCTTCCTCTCTTGCACTGTCTCTCCTCTCTTCTGAGAATGATGTCCCTCTCCAAGGACTGGTCCCTCCTTATAACTTGCTCAAAATATGTCAGACAAATCCTTGCCTCCAAAGAGCAGCCTGGTTTCACCCTTTTTTTGTAGGATGAACTTGTTTGTTCTCCTGGCAGTCTATGATATATTCATTATTCTTCTCCAGTACCATAGCTCAAAGGGATCAATTATCTTTCTATCATCTCTGGTCATTGTCCAGCTTTATACTTCCTCTGAAAACCCACTAGAGGGTTTTCAACCCAATGGCACATAACAACAGCAACAACATTACATATTAAAGTCATAGTCAAGGACAAAGGAGCTCTTTTGGTATAGTGCATTGTGTGTTGTGCTAATGACCAAAGGTTAGTGGTTCAAGTCTATCACCTGCTTTATGAGAGAAAGATAGGCCGTCCAATTGCTTTTACTGCCGTGGAAACCCACAAGTCTAAGTAGTCTCGGAAGCACTTTTTTTGGTTTGGTTTTAGACCTTAAACCTTGTATTATTATTTTTTTTAAATTTTCTTTTATACTGGTTTTCCTGCAAAGTTTGTACACATTGTTGTCACACTGGTTGTTCCCATTTCCTTTCCCCACTCCTCCTACCCATCAAATTGTGTGATTCTAGGATTACTCCCCCACCACCACCCCGCTCATCCTCACTCCTCTGCTCCTACCGTCCCTGCTTGGATCCTCATATATGTTTTACTAGTGATCTTTGTATTTCTACAATAATGGTCTTACACAGTATTTGTCTTATGGGATTGAGTTTGTTCATAATGCACTCCACTCACTCCCAAGTTAGGTAGTAATTTTCAAAATCATTGCTCCTGCATGGTGCATAGTATTCCATCTTGTGAATGTACCACATTTTCTTAATCCATTCTGTTGTGGTTGGCTATTTAGGCTGTTTCCATGTTCTTGCTATGTTGAATAACACTGTATGAACATTGGTGTACAAATCTTGGTTTGTGTCTCAGTTCTCATTTTCCTGGGGTATATTCTGAGCAGTGGAATAGCTGGATCACATGGAATTTCTGTGTTCAGCTTTTTGAAGAAATGCCAAACTGCTTCCCAAAGTTGCACTATTTTAAAATTCCACCAAGAATGTATAAGAGTTCCTATCTCTCCACATCCTCTCCAACATTTATTACTTGCTGTCTTGTTAAACTTAGCCACTGCTACTGAGGTGAAATGGTATCTCATTGCATTGTGTTTTTTATTTGCACTTCTATAATTGCCAAAGATTTTGAGCCTTTCTCCATGTGTCTATTGGCCATCTGAATATCTTCCTCTGTAAAAAGTATTTTTTTCCATTTTGTAATTGTGTTATCAATCTTTTTCTTGTGGAGGCCCTGTGGGATTCTATAAACTTTTGAAATGAGACCCTTGTCTGAAATAGTATTGTTTTCTCTCTGTCAGTAGGTTTTCTTTTCGCTCTGTTGGAAAATGTTTTTGATGCACACAGGAATTTAATCTTTAGAAGGTCCCATTCATCAACCTTATCTTCTCCAGATTGTATATTTCTGGCTGTATTTGTCAACCTATCTATACCATGTGCTAGGCCTTCTAAGATTGGTCCTACTTAGCCTCTTATGATCTTTATGGTTTTTGGGATATACTCCCAGATCTATGATCCACATTGAGTTGATTTTTGTATATGGTGTGAGATAAAAATTCTCTTTCAGCTTTCTGCAGATAATAGTCCAGTTTTGCCAGCACCATTTGTTGAAGAGATTGTCATTTCCCCATCTGATAGGTTTTGTTTCCTTGTTGAGTATCAGTTAACCATCGATAGAGGGATTAATTTCTGGGTTCTCATTTCTATTCCATTGGTCTATGTTCCTGTCATTGTATCAGCACCATGCTTTTTCGGTTATTACAGCTGTGTAGTAGTTTTTGTGATCAGGGAGTGCCTCCTACTTCATTCTCGTTTTTCAGAAATGCTTTGTTTATTCAAGGTGTTCCCCTCCAAATATACTTGCCATTGCCTTTTGTATCTCCTTGAAAAAGAAATTTGGTATCTGTATTGAGATTGTTTTAAACATGTAGATTGCTTTTGGTAAAGTGTCATTTTTACTATATTGAGTCTTCTTATCCATGAACAGGGAACATTTTCCCATTTTTTTTAGGTCTTTTATTGTGTATAGCAGAAATGTTTTGTAGTTTTCTCTGTACAGGTCTTTTATGTCTTTATTCTATTTTTTTTACAAAACATTTTATAAATATTTTTACAAAATGTATACAAAGCAATTTCAAGTGAGACACACTATACAAATTAAGGTATTTAAGCAAATAAAGCCCACACCACACTGACAGTGAGTGACGTGTCCTCTTTAAGTCAAGTCAGTCTGTAAGGCCTCCCTAATCTAGTAAGGGCTACTAAATTCTTCAGAGCTAAAAGATTTCTTCTTCATAATTGCCAGTTTAAAATTTGCTTTATCTTTAGGCAGTACTTAAGGACACAGAAAATCAAATGCACATATTTCTGCAACAACAGAAAGGGGAGAAAAGGAAAAGAGAAAAAGGAAAAAGAAAGAAGAAAGAAGAAAATTATTTTTGTTACTGAGTACAAGTAATCCTAAAACGTAACTCTGGCTAATGAACCTGAACAACTGAATGTGGCCACGTGAGGCTGAGCTCTCTCACCCTTCACCAGAGGGGGCTCCACATGTGAGTTAGGACCATGTGCGCATAATAAGTTTATTCTTAAGTATCTCAATTTGTAGTTGGCTATTGTAAATGGTAGTGCTTTCCTGATTTACTTCTCTGAGTTTTCTTTGTTACTGTAAAAGAATCCCACTGATTATTTTTTTTTTAAATTGACCTTGTGTCCTGCCTCTCTATTAAGTTGGTCTACTAGCTCTAACAGTTTTTTTGTTGAGTACACTATTTTTCTGCATACACTATCATGTCATCTGCTTATAGCAACAGTTTTAACCATATCTTTGCCGATCCAGATGCCTTTTATTTCCTTCTCTTGTTATATTGCTAGCAAGTACTTCCAGTACAGTATTGAATAGAAGTGGCACAACGGGCATCCTTGTCTAGTCTTTGTTCATAGAGCCTTGTATTTTAACAAGTCCACCTGTGGACACATACCAACTATAACCTATATTTCATAAATAGTGTTTTATTAAGTTTTTAAAGAATATTAGACAAAAATTATTCACAAATAACACATGTCCACTTCTCCCAGCTTCCCATTTACCATAATACATAGATCCTAACCTAGAAACTAGCTATAATAGTTTCAAACTATAATAGGTTAATTTCTCATAGGGAATCAATATGAAGAATTAAAGCTAAACCAATACTTATGTATATTTCTGTCAGTAATTATAGCACAAGGTCTTATAGAAAATGAATAAATTATTGTTTTAACAGCACATAATAGAAAAGACAAACACTGATCAATTCTATTTGTTGTTTTCCCCACCCCTTCTCTTTATCATATACTATAACATAAATACATAACTTCAAAAGGTCTTAGAAAGTTCTCTCCTAATAACAATGCTGAGGTTAATTATGAAACTGTGTGTATGTGTTTTGCAGATTTTCTTTGCCTATCTCAGTAAGCTCAGCATACTATGCTTGTGAGAAAAACTTTATGATTTCTTAAATTCTTCCTAGAGTTTGTTGTTGTTATGCCATTGAGTCAAGTATAATGTATAATAACCCTATGAACAACAAATCTGATCCCTATCTTATTCTGTGCCAACCTCACCATCTCTGACACACTCAAGTACATAGACTGTGAGAAGTTCTAGAGATGGGAAACCAAATTTTGTTTTTACCTTTATAAAATACATTGAAGAAAAAGTTTTGTTTGCACATCTGTGGACTGGTGAATCAGGCAGACTATCATAATGATAATGTAATATGAAAACGATTTTAATTTTAGTCATGACAAATCTTAAAACAGATACATAAATTCATTTTATAAATGACAAGGAAGTATTTTTAATTACTTAATTTTCTGTGGTTTAAGAACAATACTTGAATATGATCTTATGCATGAAAACGTATAGGGTGATAGTTCTCTTATTTTAATGTAATTATTTTCAAAATGAAGATGCTCCAGAGTTGAGTCATCATCTTCTTCAGCTTTGCAGATTTGCTCTGGATTAATATTCCTAAAAAGAAATGTTCAGAAAAGTCACCAATGGTTCAAAGATAACCTGCTTTTATAAATAGAATTGAATTTTATGTTAGCTTAATAAACTTTTTTTTGCTTTTAAAATACATTTGGATTTGTATATCAAGTATCAACTAAATTTCTGATATATCATTCATCAACATTTAAAATAAATAAAGGCATAAAAGTAATGGAATAAAGCATAGTTATAGGGGTAATGAAACCATTCTGCTCCCTGGAGGCAAAGATTTTGAAGCTCCATCTCGCTGACTTTGGGCCTGTGGCTAAGAGACCAGTCCTTGGAGAAGGACATTATGCTTGAAAGGGTGGAGGGCAAGTGCGGGAGAGGAAGTCCCAGGATGAGATGGATTGACTCAGTGACTGGGATTAGGTCTGTTAGAGACAATGAGATTTTCATAGGATAGGACAGGGTTCAGAGCTAATGTACAAAGCATTGCTATGAGTTGCAGACAACTCTAGGATACATAACTACAACAACAATAGTGGTGTTATGGAGGAAGATTTTGTATTTGAGAAGCACTGAACGCAAGGTTTGTAAATTCAATTGTAGATTTGAAAACACCATAAATGCACAAAGCTATAATATAAATGGTGACCTGTGGAGAAAATATTTGCACATGTACCGTAAATAATAAACAGGTTTGTCCCTGAGAGGGTGAAGCCAGGCTGCTTCTTGGAGGCAAGCATTCTGAAGCTTCGTCTGACATACTTTCAATATGTTGCAAGGCGGGATCAGTCCTTGGAGAGGGACATCATGATTGGGAGGATGGAGGGACAGCACAGGAGAGGAAGACCCTCATAAGATGGATTGATTCAGTCACTGGGATAATGGGGATAGCTGTGTTAGAGACAATAAGATTGGCAAGGGATAGAGCAGGGTTTAGGGCTCTTTCACAGGCTATTTGACAGTACATAATAAGAAAAACCATAAATAAAAATATGAAGATGCTTTTTTCAATCTATATGCGGTACAGATACCCAGGAGGTGGGTTTTATGAGGGGAAATGTGGCATCAGGATTGGAGGAAGACTCATTGTCAGTCTGCGTTATGCAGATGACACAACACTGCTTGCTGAAACTGAGGAGGACCTGAAGCACTTGCTGCAAAAGGTTAAGGACTACAGCCTTCAATATGGATTGAAGCTCAGTATCAAGAAAACAAATTCTCACCACTGTACCAATTGGTAGCATCATGAAGGATGATGAAGAGATTGAGATTGTAAGCAGCTTTAGTTTGCTTGGCTCCACAATCAACATTCTTGGCACCAGCAGCCAGGAAATTAAAAGACGTATTGTGTTGGGAAAGTCTGCTGAGAGAGACCTCTCTAAAGAATTGAAGAGCAGTGATATCAATATGGAGACTTAGGTGCACATGATACAGGCCATGGTCTTTGCAATTATTTGCTTTGCATCAGAGAGTTGGACAATGACTAGGGATGATAGAAAGAGAATTGATGCCTTTGAGCTGTGGTATTGGAGAAGAGTATTGAATATACCATAGACTGCAAAGAGAACAAACAGGTTCATCCTGGAGAGGGTTAAATCAGGCTGTGCCTTGGAGGCAAAGATTCAGAAGCTTCGTCTGACACACTTTGGACATGTTGCAAGGAGGGTCTAGTCCTTGGAGAGGGACACCATGCTTGGGAGGCTAGAGGGACAGTGCAGGAGAGGAAGATCCTCAATGAGATGGATTGACTCAGTAACTGTGGTAATGGCGGTTGGTATGTCAGAGACAATAAGATTGGCATAGTATAGAGGAGAGTTTAGGGCTTTTATACAAAGGGTCACTCTGAGTCACAGGTGACTTGACAGCACATAACAACAATATAAATAGAAGGTTAATATACAAAGACCTCCAAAAATCTTGGAGGGAAAGAAAAATAAGCCAAAATACCAGTTACACAGGAAAAAAATGTCCACACAAATATGTTCTGTAAACATGAAAAGATGTTCAAATTTATTAATAAGAAGAGAAATAGAAATTACAACTGCTCGCACCCAACAACAACAAAAATCTAAAAATTCATTAACATATTCTGATGAAGTTATGGAAGAGGAAATGTTATGGAAGAGGAAATATTATCGAAGTGTATACCAATTGACATATCTCATTTAACAGATTCTGCCCTGGACGTGCTCACCAAGTTGTGCCAAGAAATCTGGAGAACGACCACTTGGCCAACTGACTGTAAGAGATCGATATTTGTTCCTATCCCAAAGAAAGGTGACCCAACAGAATGTGGAAACTACAGAACAATCTTCACTGATTTCACATGCAAGCAAGATTTTACTGAAGATTATAAAAAAACGATTGGAACAGCACATCAACAGAGAACTACCAGAAGTCCAGGCTGGGTTTAGAAGGGGTCGTGGTACTAGAGATATTGTAGCTGATGTTAGATGGATCTTGGCTGAAAGCAGGGAATACCAGAGGAATGTCTGTGTTTCATTGACTATGCAAAGGCATTTGACTGTGTAGATCATAACTATGGCTGACTCTGAGAATAATGGGAACCCCAGAACACTTGATCGTTCTAATGGGAAACTTATACTTGGACCAGGAGGCAGTCGTCAGAACAGAGCAAGGGAACACTGCATGGTTCAAAATTGGGAAGGGCGTACGCCAGGGATGCATCCTATCTCCATACCTTTTCAACCTATATGCAGAACAGATTATCCGGGAAGCTGAGCTCTATGAGGAGAAATGTGGGGTCAAGACTGGTGGACGATTTATCAACAATCTGCGTTATGCGGATGACACAACCCTGCTTGCTGAAACTGAAGAGGACCTGAAGCGCCTGCTGCAGAGTGTCAAGGACTGCAGCCTACAATATGGATTGAGCCTCAATGTCAAGAAGACAAAGATTCTCACCACTGGACCAATTGACAGCATCAGGATGGATGGTGAAGAGATTTGAGATTGTACACAGCTTTAGTTTGCTTGGCTCCATAGTCAACAGTCTTGGCACTAGCAGCCAGAAAATTAAAAGGCACATTGCCATGGGAAAGTCTGCTGTTAGGGACCTCTCCAAAGTACTGAAGAGCAATGGTGTCTCTCTGGAGACTAAGGTGCGTCTGATACAGGCTTTGGTCTTCCCAATCACTTGTTATGCATCAGAGAGTTGGACAATGACCAAGGAGGATAGAAGGAGAATTGATGCCTTTGAGCTTTGGTGCTGGAGTAGAGTATTGAGAATACCATGGACTGCTAGGAGGGTTAAACCAGGTGGCTCCTTGGAGGCAAGAATTCTGAGGCTCTAACATACTTTGGACATGTTGTGAGGAGAGACCGGTCCTTGGAGAGGGACATCATGCTTGGGAGGGTGGAGGGACAGTGCAGTAGAGGAAGGCCCTCTATGAGGTGGGTTGATTCAGTGACTGGGATAATTGGGATGGGAGTGTCAGAGACAGTGAGATTGGTACAGGACAGAGCGGAGTTTAGGACTGTTGTACATAGGGTCGCTATGAGTCGCAAGCGACTCGACGGCACATAACAACAACATACAAAATGGCCTGATATAAGAATATATTAGTAAGGAAATGTCTGAATAAAATGTGCAGCATTTATATAAAGAAATCCTACTAACTGGGAATAAAATGAGGGAGATCTCTATGTACTCATAAGATGCGGTATTGAAAATAACAATTTGAAAGACCAAAGAATTGAAAAAAAAAATTGCACATACACTGTATTCACCCATCTATATATATATAAAGAGGGAGAAAGATCCTCTTATATAATAAATTGTGGTGGGTGACTATGAAATGTTAATATATATGTGTGTATGTGTGTGTGTGTATTTGCTTGTATTAGCAAAAAGAAATACTGAAAAAATGAATTGGAAGTTAATTAAAATTTTACCCTTTATGGTAGGAGATTGAGTGAGTTGAAGGGATAGGACTTCTCTCATTACTGTTAATGTAATTTTTACTTAGGAATCGCATAACTAATACAAAATTTTAATTCAAAATATAAAAACGGTTCTTTAAAATGAAAACAAATGACTTTATCTGGACATTCAATTGTTAATATTATATTGTTGTGTATCATCAAGTCAATCCAACTCATACTGATGGCCCAGTGGGTTTCAGAGGCAAGAAAGGTGGAAAGAGACTGCCCATCTTTCTCCCACAGAAAGCTGCTGGATTTAGACTGCTTGCGTTCAGATTGGCAGTGCAGCCTCTTACCACTCGCCCACGAGAGCTCCCTTAACATAACAGTACAGATTAAAAGAATTATGTCAAGATCCACTGTATTTCAGCTGCACCCATTTAGTATAACTTATCATTAGGAAAACAGAGAGTTACCAAATCGCCTCCCCAGACCCACTTATCTAAGTGCTTTTATTGTAATAACAATGACAGTATTATTTTGAAATTCTTTTATGTAAGAGTAAAAGAAATTAAAATAATTTAGAATGTAGAATTTCACTGTAAGAAACAAGTTTCAAACAAATGAAATTAAGTAAATGTTAAATTTTTATTGGAAATGCTACATGAACTTTTTTTCATTTTTAAAATACAAGCTTCCTGGCGGTCTACTGAAAAGGCCTAGAATTACTGAAATGACCACACGTGAGACTGTATTTATTGGGTACATACTGCTACCCAATAAAACTAGACTCTTTACAAGAAGACTGATTACATGTCTGCGGTAGCAAGAAAACACACATAAAAATGAGTCTGAGTCTGCATTGTGTTTTTGTGCTGGAAGAAGCAAATCATCTGTCCTAGACCAGTGAGAACATTATCAAAGGGCACAGAAAGCCAATTCAGACTACTGCTGGTGGAAGATGAGACAGTTAACCATGATAACAAATTTGGTAGCAATTGATTGAAACACAATGGGAGAGTAAAAACTTTCATATTAATTTTTCAAGAAAAGGGAGCAAAAACACCCAAAATAAAACAACTAATGAGAAACACTTAGGAATCAACTCCTTACTCTGATAGTTTAAAGGAAAAATTGAGAATTTA